TTGAATGGTTGGCTTGGTGATAAATTCGAAAGTTTTCTACGTAAATTCAGTACTAGCGCTACGCAAGGCAGACTGGTTGGTTCTGCCGGAATGCGTGTTGTTTCGTTTCTGAAATAATTTTTTCTATTCCTTCAGGTATGCACAGTGTCTGACATTGTGACTGCTGATGGCAGGTTTATTCGTCGCTCCGCGTGGAATGGGCTCAGGGATGAGTGCTGCCGCTCGCCATACCAATGGCCAAGGACAGCTCGCCCAACAAGGCAACACTGGGTCCTGTGGCAGACCACCTTGTCCAGAGCCTTGCTTGCCTCCAACGGTCCACATCACCCACTACAACAGCCCTTGGGGCCATGGACTGACCGTCTGGAGGACTGGAATCGGTTATTGTCCCCCACCACAGGCCTTTTCCACCGCCGTGGGGCAACCTGGAAACACTTTAGCTCTGAGGGCTCTCCCACCACGTCACGTCGCTACGCACCAGGGCCATCCCATCCTTCCTGCCCATGGTGGACGGTACCGCTCCCTTCTGACGCTCTTCGTGCTATGGTTCGCTCCATCACAGGATCTGACAGGGTTCTTCTCACCGGTACTGGCCGTGCCACTGAACTGCCCTCTCCCTCCAGGCCATCCATTCTTCACGCGTGGCACCATGGGCAAATCTATCAATGCGAAGGCATCCTCGGCGATGACAAAAAAGTCGGGCGTGTCTAAGATGAAAATGAGGTTCTTGGGAGAATCGTGTGCCTTGGCACCTTTCAGGTTCGCTGGCGTGGATGCGAGTCGCTTCTTAAACTTGGACTGAGCTTTGGCTAGTGTTGGCTCTCCTTTGAGTCGCTCAAATTCCTCCACAATGTGAGGATTGATAGCAGGGACTGTCCAAGGATTAGCGAAGAATTGGGATGCCGTTCGTCACATCCAAGTCAATGGCTTGGCACATTGAACAATTAACGTCGGGTCAAACACAAGCAAAAATTCCCAAAAGCGAGGCGACTTTTTGTCAGTAGTGATAACGCGTTGGGCTGTTGCAAGAGCAAAAACCTCCTGTCTCCAAGCCGTCTTGTCGAGCCTGCAAAACTGTGACACCTTGAGTTTTGTGATGTAGGCAACAGGCGATTGTCCTTGCACTGCGCCATCCTCGGCGGTTTTGGAAGGAGGGGGTTGCTTGCGCTTGGGAGTCGTGATGGCAGGATTATCCTTGGTCAGAGCAATTGACGATTGAGTGGTCAAATTTGATCGGGTTTTTGCCTCAAGACCTCCCTGACCTTGGTCAGCTACAGTCATGATCGAATTCGGGTCCTTCTTTGGCGGGTTGGTGATGCTATCCTTCATGTTGGCTTAGTTCTGTTTTGGTGCTGTGCGTGGAAAAATATTTTCTACCTTTTAGTTTTTGATTTTTGAGTTTTATCAGTCTACGGTATATACCACATGAGTTCTCAATGGATTCCCCCCGGGAGGGCCCCCGGGAGGCATGTCGGGCAAGTGGTGGGGGCAAAAAAGGTACACATATATATTGTCCGGGGGTTGGGGGGAGGGTCTACCTGGGAGGCATGAGCTGCAAACAAGTTTTTTAAGCCAAGCAATAGTGCAGGGGGGGGTTGGGGGGGGGACCCCCCAAGAAAGAAGCACTGCCAGCATGGTACCTGCCAGTCACAGCTGACGCCAGCATCTATGGAAGTACTTTTGTACCAAAGTCTTCGTAGAAATTTGTGTGTCCGATCTGAGCAGTCTTAGTTGGATTTCGGTTCTGGCGGACATCAGACAAGCAACAGGCTTGTCGTCATCCAAACCGATTGACAACTTTGTGGCCCATAAAGCCATCATTGCCAACCAGCCGTGCCAATATGCGACCCATCAAGTCGTCATGCAGAGACACCGACCATAGCGATCTCCGATCCGCCTAATAGGAAATAATCATCTCTACAGGAAATAACTATTCTAAAAGACTTGTTATCTACATGGAATGGGCAAAGCAAAAGCCTTGCACGAAAACTCAAATTTCCGAAAACTTTACTGGATGTTTGCAATCCAGAAAGGTCGGTACAAAACCTTGCCGCAATCTTGATGTTTGTCGCGCAACAAAAACACAACAATACAACAGGATGGTTGGCGCTTGATATCGGGAGGCCGAGGAAAGTAGGCAGGCCTCCGGATCCGCGTCTAGGCAGCGGTCTTGATTTCCCACAAAGCAACAATTCACCTTGCCTTCGAGCTCCATCACTCCCCCACACGACCGACGACAACTGGCCTTGAATTTGCAAAAAGCAATCTCTCCAGCTGCCGCCTCGGGCGAGAAAAACGGAAAGGTCTCCACGGTGCGGCTGATGTTGGATCCAGCGCTGCGACCGCTCCTTCTTTCGTCCAAGCTTCTTGCGCTGAGGAAAGACCGCCTCTGATAAAGTTGGATTTCGGTTCTGGCAGACATCAGACAAGCGACAGGCTTGTCGTCGTCCAAACCGATTGACAACTTTGTGGTCCATAAAACCATCATTGCCAACCAGCCGTGCCAATATGCGACCCATCAAGTCGTCATGCAGAGGCACCGACCATAGCGATCTCCGATCCGCCTAATAGGAAATAATCATCTCTACAGGAAATAACTATTCTAAAAGACTTGTTATCTACATGGAATGGGCAAAGCAAAAGCCTTGCACGAAAACTCAAATTTCCCAAACCTTTACTGGATGTGGCGCTCCTGAGTTTCCACATGAAACTTCCAGTCGCGACGCCAAATGTCCAGGCCCCATCACACTTGAAAAACAAAAGGATGATTGTAGCTTGATGGAGGGAGGCCAAGAACAGTAGACAGGCCTCCGACTCCGCGCCAAAAACAGCCTCCTTGAAATTCCACAAAGCAACAATACACCTTGCCTTCGAGCTCCATCACTCCCCCACACGACCGACGACAACTGGCCTTGAAATTGCAAAAAGCAATCTCTCCAGCTGCCGCCTCGGGCAAGAAAAACGGAAAGGTCTCCACGGTGCGGCTGATGTTGGATCCAGCGCTGCGACCGCTCCTTCTTTCGTCCAAGCTTCTTGCGCTGAGGAAAGACCGCCTCTGTGGGTCAGTTCCATGGCGACTGTCCGCTCTTGGCCCTTCTTGGCTCTTGGCGCGTCGCACTTTTGCAAGTACCGGCCTTTCTGGATTGCAAACATCCAGTAAAGGTCTGAGAAATTTGAGTTTTTAATTCATAATTTTGATTGATGTTGTGCGTTATTGTACTCGTTTTCCGCTGGCACATTGTCCTTCCTTTGTTTCTCGTTTCCATTTTTGTCTCCTCAGACCATAAGGAGTAAACGGTACACTCTTCCCTGCCAACTAGCTAGGCGCGAGGAGTTTAAAACTGTGTGTCCCCTCTACACACCACGGAAACCGACGACTTGAGCAAGTCAGATGCCCGCTAGGGATAAGTTTGGAGCATATGCCTCGACCATCTATGTTAGAACTGCCCTAGCACGTTGTCTCGAAAGACGAGGGGATGGGTTGAGGTTGATAATTCTGTGTATGAACACTTCTGCTCTGTGGTTGCTCAGGTCGAAGAACCTATGCATGTCGTGTCCATCATTAGCATTAGTCGGAATATATTGGAAGCAAACAACAATCTGCAAACAAATTTAAAATCTGTTATAGATCATTTATCATTATTAGTTGTTGGATTTTTTGGAGGGATTTGTTGGATATTGTGGAACAATTTCTGAGATCTTTGACAGATTTTTGACATACTTAACGCTCAAATCAACACTTAACACTCGAAAGAAACAGTTAAAATACATTCACATGAAAACAGGATTGCATTACTATCGCTATTCTTTTGGCGCAAAAGCACAATGAAGGATGCTATCATTCCATGGAATACTGAAAGAATGCGTTCCAAAGGCATTTTTGCTCTCTTTGAGTGCAACTCTGTCACTTCCATTAAAAGACAAGGTTCGGAAACTTGCGGCTCAAGAAAACTTGGATATACCCAAACTGCGCCCATGTCACTTCCATCACTTTCATCCATCAAGATGTCACTTCCATCACTTCCATCCACCAAGACAGGGTTCAGTTAGGACAGGGTTCGGGAAGCCCTTCAAAGCCAAAGCAGAAATGCATCCTTGCTTCAGCTCACAAAAAACAAAACCATCAAACCAAAACAATCAACAAGCACTAGCATTCATATCAACATGGCCGGCAATTCAAACAAGGGAAAACCCACCCCCAAGGGATCCGCCAAGAATCCATATGCCAAGCAAAACATGAAGCCATCGCCACTAGCCAACAAAGTAAGACTTCCTTTGATTGTTGTTTTAATTTTCGAATCCTTTCTCTTCTCACACCAGATGTTTTCTCTTCTCACACAGTCCGATGTGCTCAAGGGGCTTGGTCTCCAAGAGACCAAGTCGCCAAACAAGGAACTGAAGCAAACCAAGGTGGATGCAATTTGTACAATCATCCCACACCAGGCATTTATTTTGCGCTTCAAGTACCGACATGGCACTGCTCTCCCTTTGGAAGGCCCACATCAAGAACGACTCCTTTGTAATGCCATCGCGGGAGGAGACCAATGGATCCAACCTCTTTTCCCAAGCAACAAGACCTATTGGTTGATGCATGAAGGGAGGCTTGTGAGGTACAATCCAAGGGGAACTTTTGAGGTTTGTCTCTTTGTCTTCAACCTTCATAGCTGGCCTTGAAGGGGAGAGTGCTGTTAGAACTGCACGAGGCATTCTGACACTTATCCATGACAACATTTCCGGCTTTATCATCCCCTTAGAACCAGAAGAACTATTCTGGACCCGTGATTGTGTCTTTAGCGAGATTATTGGAAACAGAAAGGCAGTAGAGCGATTGCTTGAGAAGTACTCTGGCAAAGAGGATAATGATAATGATCCCCAAGACCTCGAAGACGACTGGTTTGCAAACAACATCAAAACCATTTGAGGATATGTCCGCCAAGGTCAGATTCCGTTGTCCTATGCTTCCGTTCTCAAGGCTCCTGAAGATGAAAATGACATACTCTCTACAGACCGTTGGTCATCCGGCCAGACTTCCAACGTACTTCCAGCAGACGCTACATCTTACGCTCTTTTTAACAGACGCTTTTGTTATACTCCTATCGGTTACTCAATATTCCAGGCCTAACTATTATTGGCCCTCTTAAGTACTTTGATCGTTACTGAATATTTCAGCACCGTTACTGAATATTTCGGGCCAAAGCTTGGCCAAACCAAGACTAGATAGCGCACCTAAAACCACTATTCTAATGCTCACAATTTCATTATCAACTGATATCAAATCCCTTTGATCTAGGTTAAGTCATAGTGAATTCACTTCG